AGCAGGATGAGCCTTCGCAAAATGGATATCTAAACGAGTTAAAAACCAAAATTAAAAACAAACAAAAAAAAGCACTTAAATTAAGGTTTTGAAAAGAAAGAGCCTTGTTATCAGCGCTGGGAATCAAAGAAGTTTTATTGTGAAATAAAACTTGGACTTCATCCTGGACATCCCACACACCTCTTCCTCCATCAAAGTGTTCAGTGGCCAAAAATCATTCTGAATTGTCAAATGTAGACTTCTTAATGTTTGAAAAGAAATCATGGCAGTGCTATCCAGAGTATTGGTGATAAGCTGTAAACTTCCCTGTTTTTTAAGGCATTTTTATGACTCAAAGGTACACTAAGCTCATTTACCTTTATTTATAGCATTACCTAATGTTAAATTTATTTACTTTTAGTTCATATATTTAATTTATATTAGGACCATACGCAAATGCATTTTTGAAGTTTTTAATGTAGTGATGATGGTTATTTTGATGGTACTATTAAATATGTGAATGTTTACACTTTAATTCCCTGTGCATTGGAGTTCAGAGCTCACCATCCTTGGGGAAAAAAGGTTCAAAGAAAGGTAAGTCTTACAGTAACACTTCTTAACCAAGTGGTGATTTTTTTACTATCCCTGTTCTTTTCCCTTTGTAACTCTGAATGCAGATAGCTGCAAAGAAAAATAATTCCATCTCTAGCCAGCAAAAGACTTGAGGCACACCTTAATTTACCACTTTACCTCCTTCAGTGCCAGGGAAGCAGAGCTGGAGCACAACTGCTGTGTGTACACTTGTCATTCCCACCAGCTGGGAAGTCCAAACAGCAGTTACCAGACGTTCAGTTCAGCTTAGCAGGGTCCCTGCAGGCAGACTGCTTTTTTGTGCCCCTTTTTCAATTTAAAAACTGATTTCACAGGGATAAAGAACATGAAATGGTACCACAGTTTAAGTCAAAAGCTTACGTAAATAGCTTTTTTTCTTCATTATTATTTATATAAAGAAAAAACATCTGTTTTTCAGCAGTTATTTTGATGGCTAACACAGGACTTGGAGGAAACAGATCTGGACCTGAGTGCACAACTCCTTTATCTAGTCTGTTATGTTTTTCTTCTCTGTATTGAACAAGGTCCCTTGGAAGAGGTGGTAGGTGATTAAACACAACCTTATTCTCTCTCTGTAAATACTTAAATGTGCCTCCATATACATATATATTAAAAAAAACAAATTTTATGAATGCACTTTTTTATATATATATAAAGAAAAAAAGTTATACACAAGCTTTTAAGACAGGAAATAACCATATATTATAACTTGCAATTTGTGAACATTTGACTTTTGAAAACTGAACAGATTTTAACCTTCACTTCTAACAAGCATCCACTTTCCTGCATGTGAGAAGGTGCTGGAGGGGGGTGTTTCTTTGGCCTTTACCCCCTTCTCTTTTTAGCAGCTGTAGCAAGTGTCCCCCCCTTTCTGCATCAGCAGGGAGGCTTGAGGATGGGTCTTTTTTTTTATTCTTGATGCTTACTTGAGGTTATTGCTGGCTGGTGGCAGAAAGAGGGAACTGCTGAGCAGGGTTTGGAAGGTGCTGTGGTCATCACCAGCTGTGGGTGCTTGTCCTGCCCCAGTGGGATGGCGCCTAGTGGGACAGATGGCACTGGGCAAGGTGCTGCAGGGCAATCTGTCTTGGCCAAGGGGTGTGTTGAGGAAGGGAGAGCAGCACTGCCAATTTTTACTCCTTTTCCCATGCTCTTTTGGTCCAGCCTTGTTCCATAAGCGCGGTGCTCATCTTGGTGCCGCTCCCTGACCCGTTCAAAGGGGGAATGTTGAATGAATTTGAATGGAATTTTTTAATGAATTCCAATCACACCAGGGGGTTGACAAGGCTTTGGAAGCTGTGTGGGATTTGGGAACTCTCCTAATGGAAAATATGAAGGAAGGAGGGGGTAGCTTTGCAAGAGATTTATATTAAGAGGTATGTAAAATACTTACAGATTAAAAAAAAGGGGAAAGAAATCCCAATAGCCATGGAAGAGTGAAACCTTAATTTACAGTAGTCCTTGTATATTGTGTTTTCAGCCAGGAAAGCAACTATTTTATTCCATATTTTTAACAAATGTTCTTTGATGTTATTGGATGGCCCTATGTCAGCATAAATCTGACCAGTTTATCAGTAGGTACAGCTCAAACGTTTTGTAAAACCCAAGTGCAATAAGATGGAAAGCAAAGATTGGGCAGCCACCTCTTATTTTCCATTGCAGCAAACTACAAGCCCTGTGCAATACAGGCCCTTAGGAACTGGGGCAAGTGCTTTACTTGAGTAAATCTCAAAAAAACCCACCCCCCAGTCTCTGTCTTTATGCCAAAGGAGTGTTTTTTCCTTCAGCATATTCCAGCTGATTGTGTTTGCTGTTCAGCTGCCTGCAAAGGTTTCTTTGAAGCTGTGTAGTATGATGGAAGACAGCTGGGTCTAGCCACTATTTTGTTGAATATAACAGTATTTTGTTTCCTTGGATCATTTCCTGCTCCTGCAATCAAATGAAAAAGATAAGTCCTGGATCAAGTCTGGAAAAATAAACTTTAATTTGCAGGCTGAAATGCAGCAAGGCCCATACTGCAGGCAGTAAAAAAAAAAAAAAAGCATTCTGTAATGTGACTTGGCTACCCTTGCAAGGTAAGATCAGTAATTTTTTTTTAATGTAGCTATTTCTTGGTTTAGACTATGAAATTTTTTATGATGGTGACAATGCTTTAGAAAAGGAAGAATCTTAGTATTTGTAATCCCAGATTTTTCTTTGTAGAAAGGTAATGACTATGAGCATCTGTTCAGCATGAGTTTATATGCAACTCTATTACACTGTTTTCTATAGAGAGTCCAAGCTTTCTAGACTGAAATATATTTTATTAGTACATCATCATCTAGGATATACTGCAAAATCAACAAAGAGGGCCACCATAGCATGGAAAATACAGTAAAGGTCTTTTTCATGAGCTACCTCAGTGTTCATGCTACATTATAATAAAAGATTGTAAAAAAGTATTGCAGAATAAACTAGGTAGAGGTTTATAGGGCTTCTCCTGTAAAAAAGTTGAATTTGTATTTGAAAACATTTAAATATATCCAGAAAACAAAGGCATACTCACACTTATCTGTGTATCTTCATGTCATTCCATCCATCCTAGGGCAGCAGATGTTAACACTCATCCAATTGTGTGTCATCTTTTTAAGATCTTGAATTGTTTGCAGTTTATAGGAGTCACCGTAACATTTTAGCATCTAACAGATGATTTAGGATTTTAATCTCGTAGTATTTAGTGCCAAACAATTTCTTTTTACAATCTTAGTTTCCCTTTCCCCTTGCCTCTGAACCTTATCTCCAGTCAAGTGCCTTCAGATAAGGATATGCTGTACAAGAACCAGTTAAAAAAGAGAATGTTATTTTTTAAAGCTCTGTAAGTTTTCTATCTCTGGAAGACAGATAATTTCACAACCTTTTTAACAGTGCCCAGCCACTTTCATTTTCCACCTTTCCCTCTCCAACCACAAAAAGTCTGATCTAGTCATCTCAGATGTGTATCATTTTTCTTTTTTATTTCATATATACAATCTTAACAAAGCATCAAAACCAAATGGTTTCCTTTCCCCACATTTCAGTGAGCTCCAATTACAAAGGAACTGTTAGAAGATCACTGCTAAGTTCCAAATCCACCAAAACAGATACGTATATTAGAGGACTTTACTCTTGGAAGTACAAAATTATTTTCATTACACTACACACTCCCCCTTGTTTTGAAGTATTCATCACACCTATTTACACTTTGCCCATTTAACACCTATGCAACAAGATACAAATTAGACCATTCAAACATGTCTAGTAAGTTCATTTCCTTCCAAACACACTAAACAAGGTTACAAGACCCTTTTCTTGTGCTTCAAGTTGCACTGAGCAGTATAGAACTGGATAAGAATAAACCATGTCAATTACCCAAAGACTAAATATGAAGCATTACTTCCCAAGTTACAAAAATACACAACTTCTGATGAAATTTGCTAGTTAATATACATTTACTCCAGAAGATGAATACAAATAAACTTTATTTTTTTTTAAAAAGAAACTAATAATACAATAGGCATGTCTGAGACCTAGAGTTGTGTTAAAACCACTACTGTGTACTGTAGGCATCATTTGGGAACTATACAAATTGGTACTTCTAAAAGGCAGTATCACTGGTCTCCAGCATAAATGTTATTAAGTTCCATGTTCATGGTTTGTTCATTCAAGTTGAGACACCTTACACTGAACAAAAAAAAAAAAAAACAACAAACAACCCCAAAACAAAACAACCAGAAATACTATGATCCAGTAGCTTCAAAAACAAACAGCTGTTTCTTCCAGGTAGTTTTGATGCAGATCAGACCAAGAGGTGTATGCAAATCCCTAATATTTACAGCCAAAATACAGTATCACTCTACAATTTTCTTATAAAACAGTAGGTAAGGAGTTGACGTAGATGAGGATGTGGGAGAAAGAGAATTCAGAAAGTCCTTTTCTTCTGTCACCTTCACTTCAGAATCATCAAAAAGCAGCCACTTCCCTTCGTACTCCTTGAGGCTCTGCAGCAGGCACAGGGCTTGGTTTTCATGTCCACTGGAGGTGACCCCGCTCTGCTCCCTGGGGGCCGCGCCGCACTCTGCGCTGCCAGCACTGCTGCTGGCCTCGGGATTCCTGCTTTCAGGAACCACGTTGAGAAACTTCTCGGGGTTGGCTGGTTTGTTGTACAGGTCACAGTCAGGCTTGCTCTTCTGCCCCCCAAGGAGTCCAACAGCTTCCATGTTCTTTTTGTTCAGAACTTTCCCCGGCTGCGCGTTCCCATTGACTCTAAAAGAGACCTCGCCGTCATCATATTCTTCAGCAACAGTTCGAGCCTCCTCCTCGTTCAGTGGCTCTGGTTTAACCATTTCACACATTTGGTCAGTGATGAAGTTTTCCCTATCTAGCTCCAGGCTACTGAGATCTGTGATTTTGACAGAAGCTGTGTAGTGTCCACTGCTGATGGTGATGCCACTGTGCATGACCACCGCAAACAGGCCGTAGGTGTCGTTGGTCGGCTTCGTGCTCCATTCTTCTAGGGACAGTTTGAGAGGCGTCAGTAAGGGAGTGTTTATCTTGGACAGTCCACCATAGCAATCAAACCTTTAGAAGAAAAACAAAATTAGACCTCTCACCATGACTGCTCACAATAAATACTGCTTTAAGTGGCCCATATATTGTGTCTATATTCTTCTCCTTCTATTAAAAAGACGGGTGATCAGAACACGAGAAGTTGCTCACTTCTCAATTTGTTCGTTGTGAGCGTGTCCCTGTTCAGTAAAGACATGTTTACAAGTATGTCTATTGTTAAATCTCGAAGCCTAATAACTATGTATTTTAGCTATTTAAGAGACTCCCTTCTTCTGAAGTATTGACTGAAGTTACTTCTTAAATAGTGACAATCAGAGGAGTTAACCTCGTTCAGTTATCACTCATGCTTCTATTCACAAGTAACTTCCACTGCTTCCCAGACACCATCCTGCTTTCCAGATGAAAAAAACCCAACCCTTAACAAAAAACTTAAGCACCCAGGGTTGAAGTAAGCAGAGTTCTTTTTTTCTTTTCCAAAACCCTTGAAAGAGTCATTTATTAACTAAAGGAATACAAATCTATTTTACTTTCAAATAGCTCTAAGGTCACTCAAAAACTGAGGAATGTTTCTCAGATCCTCTTGGTGCACTGATCATGTGTTACCAATTGTGATACAAGGCTTACCTAAGGATGATTAAGTTCCTACCACTTTCTTGTTACTAGGCAATTCTTCATTAACTGTCCTAGGTGACTCATTTTTTTGAACCATTACCTAGCTGATTTACTTTGGTAAAGCATCTCATGTTCCATACATATTTAGCATTTTGTTCACAGTGCACAAATTTACAATAAGCTCTTTCATTACAATAAGGATCTTCTCAAGAGTCAAAGAAAATAAGCACTGGGACTTTGACATTACTGTGCATCAGCCTCCTTGAGTGACTCTGATCTTACATGGTTTACATACTGCATCAGCCCAGATTAAATTTAATGATGTGGTAAGATATCCTGATAGGTTTCAGTGATGAGTCAGCCTGGCTCAGCTGTTTGGGTGTTGCACGGAAAGATACAAACCCTGTAAAACTTTCAGTTCCATTCAACTTTCACATAAGAAAGAACATCTACCTTTGATCCAAGGACACTGTAGATCTGGCACAGCACTATAAGCATAATTGCAGTGACAGATCACTACTTTTTGTTTCACTGGGTTTAGTTTTGATTCCACTGTGCTTCCAAACATTCCACAGCCGTAACCCCTTATGAACATCAATACATTCACGCACACACAGATGTTCTCAGTCACTCAAGCCTCATTAATTTAAATCTCCATAAACTTACCATAAACATTGGACTACACCAAAAGAAACACAAGAGCATATAATCAGAAATAATAAAACTTAAATCTTCTGAAAATCCCTATTATTAGCAGCCAGAAATAGAGATATTCAGAAGAGTGTCAAGAAACAAACTGCTTGCTGATACTCTAGATCAGAAATCCAGTTCCACTCAAGCACACTAAGACAACCATGTTAACACAAAACATTAAAAAAAACAGGCTCTACCTTTTTTTTCTGAATGAGATCCAGCATCACAAAGATCTGGAGAGGAGGAAATAACAGAGGAAATCTTTTCCTATTAGCTTTTTGTTCTTCTTAATTATAAGAATCTGAAGACAGAAAAATTGCAAGCCAAGTACTCTGCCTCCTCTGACTGATGCACAGAATGTTCATAGACAATAAGTGTGATATCTGCAGCTGCACCTTCTGAGGCCCTTAGTGGAACTTCACCCACTGTACTGAATTAATACCTCAAGTTATTATAGACCCTTTGAGACTTAAGTGTTTTACTGCAATACTTACAACACATAAGGATGTTAAATACTCCAAAGAAAGATCTGATTGCCTAAGCACTGCTTTCACTAATTAACAAATATGACTGTTATGAAACTAGAAGTATTTTAAATAAAACACAATAAAATCACCTGCTCTTACCCAATACCAGATCTCAAGACAAAAACCTAATTTTCCCACCAACTGTTAAATAGTGGAAATGCTTCATTACATGTTACCAATTACACATTTCTTAATAGCTTCCCAGTCTGAGCACACATGGCCCAGCAGTTTTTCCCCACACACACTTGCCAAAGAGAACTACTGAATCCCAGGCAAGTAGATTTTCACACTGGCTGCTTTATTTAAAACAAACAACACTTTGCAAGCCAGCATCTAGAAAAGACGAAGCAAATCTCTACTAACTGCAAATATTTACATTACCCTTCCCCTCTGCCTCATTTCTCTTCATTGATTTAAAACTCAGTCATAAAACTCAGTAGAGCACAACTGAGAAGCAGACAAGTTTTCAAAGTTTTTATTGGAGCCAAAATAAATTGTCTGATGATTCTTAAAACCTTAGCTTAAGGCCAGCAAAAGTCAGTTACTACTTTTAGGGTAAACTATTGCAGTGTCACCTATGGAGTATTTTCTACAATAAAAGTTAAGAGTTTACAGCAGTCAACTGGGGGAAGCTCCATCAAAGCTCACTGTTCAAAAACCACTGTAAGAAAGACTCCAGATACTACGGAGAGAGCCAGTGCTTTGGGATACCAGCCTAAGCTCTTCCCACTTCCTCTGCAGTCGTGCTTTATTACTCCAAATCAAGATGTTTGGAAATGACATGGCTTTGTTCAAGATAAAACACCCAAGCCAAAAACCGGGGAACAACCTTCTAAGTACTTTTCAGCTTCATCACTGACTCCAGTTCTACACTGGATTATTCCACTCTGAATTCCTTAATCTCTGGCTGCTAACACTTGGCATAAAATGTATGTCATGATTCAGAGGACACACAAGGAGCACCACTAGAGGGTGGATTCAGTCTGACGTGGGTACCGATGTATTTTGGATCAAGGACCTGAAGATTGCCAGGACAGAAGAGGTAAGCAAACACTTCCTCACAGAATTAAATAGCAAATGTAGGAGCAAAACAAAGATAATACTTAAGTTTCCTTTCAGGTAGACACACTGGGTTGGTATTTTTTAGAATAGCCTATAATCCTACCAGGATACCATCTGACATCAAGGGCTACTCAACAATAACAAGACAGTTTTTACAAGTGTGCAGCTTTTTCTCTGCCTTGTGACACTCAAATGTTATGTAGAACAGTGAGAAGACAATTTTGTATGTTATGATCCTAGACTTGTATGAAGTTAGCAGACATTACAAAGACAGAGGAAGTTTCCTTTCTACTTTGTCAGGAACAGAGACACTCCAAAAACCAGATACTAGTGCAGTGAGAATTCTAGTTTCAACAATGTCAGCAAACTACCTGTAAAAGGATGTTAATAGAATTATTGACAAGTTATTTTACAAATCTCATTGATAGTGACCACAGTTACCAGCACTCATTTACACAGCATCCTCTGACAAATCATTTTCAGGGGGTTGGACTAGATGATCCTTAAAGGTCCCTTCCAACCCAATGGATTCTACCATTCTATGAAATGTTACTCAAATGGTATAGTTGCTCTCAAAAATGCAGTTAATGGTGTGACACCTTCCTAAAGGATCTGGAGGAATATTTTAAAGTTCTAAGAAGTTTCTCCTGTCACTTGCAGTAATTTACATCTCAGTGGAGAAACAGAGTTTACTGCAAAATGCTGCACATGAAGCATTGGTGTGTTGGGTCATTTGTGTAAGGTCCTGTAGGGACCAGTTTGTTTTTCCCTTTTTTTCCTCCCTTCCCAAAGAAAATCCCTAAACTCCTAAGTATGAAAAAAAGATAAAAACCACTCTCATACGAATCTCCTTAAAAAAATAAGGATTTCTGCAGTATATACTATCAAACTGATTGTTTAGCAGCTGAACACCAATGACATGCATATTGTTGTCTTTTTAAAGGATTTGTTAATTTCTTCTGTAACGTGTTAGCTCTTCAAAATGTTTCTATCCCGGTTTGTGGTTTTCTGAATTTTAGTACTTATTATTCAGTTGGAGACCAAAGCACTACCAGCTATGACCAGAAAATTCAGATTTGTTCTCATTACTCAGTCTGCTAAAGCACTTAAACCTGCCTCTAAACTCAGAGGTGATATGAAAAGTAAACAACATTTAAAGACATATCAGGCTGTTGTAAGAATACAGATAAAACCCTTTTTGTTGAGAAATCTCCTGAAAATCTATTTTCCTGGAGGTAATTTCTGCTCCTAGTTGTAACAACAAAAAGCTCTTATGAAACCAGGGGCTGCATCCCACTGATTTCAGTTCGTTTCCATCTAGAAATCTGTTTTTGGAAGAAGTTACAAAACATTTCCATCTCTTCTGATAAGATGTCCCTTCCACCAGCACATGGTTTCGTAACAGGGTCAATCTGCAATACTCACTCTAGGCCACTAGCAGCAAAGCACTTCAAGTGAATTGTTATCACTTCAGGCATTTTATCGAACAAAAGGCTGCGTTCTGCTTCTGTGTAATGATGGCAGTTCTCACAGAAATATTTATCCTCTCCCACAATCCTTTCCACTGATGCAAACTGTGAAATTGCCCATTTAAGAGTCTTTGTTTCTGTTTTTGGCTCTGGAGAAACTAGAAAAGAGAATCATTAGTTCACAGATAAGCAATTATTTACATTTCCAAGGCATCCCACCAGAATAACAACAAAACAAAATATGCCCAGTTAAGACACGTTCAGAAACACTGTAAAGAACATTCAGTATCTAGAAAATATATTCAGATCTTTACATCATTTAATGAAGTGATGAAAATATCACTTAATGGGTATTACTACTTAAAATCATCCCATTTTCCCACAGCTTGTCTTCAGATCATCCCATTTCCATACATTATTACATGTATTTGAGACCAGAATGTCATTTATTAAGGGAAACCTCCCAAGTAACCTGCAAGTTCCCTTTCACTTGCTACATTTTGCCTCCCCTGACACCTTCCCACTGCTGATGACAGGATCACCTCCTCTAGGAAGCATTTTCCATATGGAAACCACCACAGACACTTTACCCTAAAGTCCCTCAGCAAAAAGGAGGAGGGCAAAGATAGTAAAAGCTGCTCCAAATTATGTCTATTTGAACTCTTAATTTCTTTAAAATTGAGTATTTTACAATGCCATGCTTCCTTTTGAAAATAGCTAAAAACTACGTATAGATCACTAACATTTGTGACAGATACCAGAGGACTAATATTTACAAATACAAAACAAATATTGTTAAGGTAATGCCAGTCTAAAATACTGAAAAAATGTTTTTATAGTAATTTAACAAAAAAAATTGCTAGTTTTGTGTTTATTTTTGAGGGGAAAAATGCAGGAATTTCTTCTAAAATGAAGAAAAAACAGGATTTCTTAGCCAGGAAAAAGACCCAAATAAAAATATACCCATTTATTAGAAGGGAAACATGTACCTAAGTGAAGGCTTGTAAAGCAGTCTGTGTTATGTGTTAAGACTTGAAACAATTTGCATACTGTTTGGATCTGTCAACATGATCAGAGCTGTGTTTCCAAAGTCTAAAGTTAATCAGGACAAGAGATAACAACAGCCTCTGATTTTCACCAGCACAAACAGGAGCATGTTCCTCGATAACCACAGCACCGTCCTTCCTCAATGGCTGGCTGAACAGAGACACATCCACCAGAACTGGCAGAATTACTTACTTTCAGAACTCTCTTCAGTTTTAGAAAGTTCATCTTCTTGCACTGGGACACTGATGTCCTGAAAATCTTCTCTCCTTTCAGTAAAGCACTCACACTCCAAGCATCTTGTTCTCAGAACTAACTGGCCCTGGAACAGCTTCTCCACCAGTTCAAAAACAGCCAGTTCTGTACCTACAGAAAATATAAACCAGAGTACTTAGCAGGATGCATTTTATTCAAAAGACTCTTCAGGACCTGGCTGTCCTTCTTGGAAATCCACTGGCTTTCTAGGGATTCCAGATAGGAATAAAAAAAAACAACACAAAAGAGCTGCTTAACACAGAAAAATGTGAAAACTGCATTTCTCTTGGCCTTCAAACTTAAATTCTCTTTGAAGATTAGGTTCTTGTTTTATGCTTGAAGTGTGACAGTGTCACATCCTGGAAAGTTTGTGTTTGTCACCCTTCTCAGCACAGGCTGTCAGGCTCCTCAAGGAGCCCCATACTTGGGGTTTTGCCTGGTTTCCATTTATTCTCAGCCCTCCAATACTTTCTCAATTTGTTGGCCAATTTTACTCAAATCTGCTGAAGAAATACAGATCTCAAAAGCTTCTGCATTCCTTGAGGTTTTTCTAAAACTTGGTGGGTGGATCAGAAAGCAAGTTCCAAATGAGTAAGTCCTGAATTCCTACCCAGGCCTTTCCCTCAGAGAAATCTTGTCTCTTTGACACAAACAAAATCCATATATATATATATAAAATACATCCAATGTCTTTCCTAGTTCTTGGGAATGCTGGAAATATGGAAGGACTACGGAATAGGGAGGAAAGGAGAGGATTTTGTTTGTGAAGACTTGGAACACACAGCAATAGCCAACAGGGTTTGAGTCTGTTTGCTCATGACAGTGATCTTCCTGTACATCTTGAATCCATGCCATGGATGGCAAAACTTAGTGATAATACAAACCTGGTAATATTCTGCCTTTTTTTTGGTATTGAACAATGGTTACAATAATATTAAAGAAATACCTTTAAGATTTCAGCTAAACAGATCAAGTTATACAAATAATTACAAACATGTATAAAAATAAATTCTCTTTCATAAAAATATTTTTCCATTCCTCAACATGTAATTTTGGAGCTAGAGCTCTGCTGGCTCTCCAGTCTGGAGACTGACTTCCCATGCATTCTAATTTCTTAAATCATACCAACTTGTTCACCAACCTTCCTTTTTTGCTTCTTTCCCAGTTCCTTTTTCATGGTGGCTTTCCATGGGAGACGCTGGTTCCCGATATTCTTCTTTAATATTGTTACCATTGTCACATTTTAGAGAGGACTCTTCAAGCTCACAGTCACCACATTCTTTCCCTGGGTCTTTGGATCCCAAGTTTGTACTTAACTTTCCTAGACTATAGAATTTAGACAGAATACTAGGCTGTTTGCATGGAGTTTTTAACCAGTTTAACCTAATCCGTGACTTCTTCTGTGTGGGCTTGGTGCCCTCATTTTCACTGGAACACTTGGCAATGGCTTCAACTGCATTGTCCAGCTTTTCTCCTGTGGCTTTCCTCTTTGACCTGGTTTGTCTTTGATTTTCTTCTGCTGCAATTTGCTCTTTTGACACTTTGGATTTTTTCTTTGCGTTGCCACCCTCAGCATCACTTTTCCTCTTCCCATTCCCTTTGAGCAGCTTGTCTTCAGCCCCTTCTCCAACCTGGCCACTCAGCACGTTCTCCTCCTCCTCCTCAGCAGGGTTGGCAGTTCCATTGCTCTCAGGCTGCTGATGGATTTTTGCCTCCACTTTCACTGCAGGCTCTTCCACGGGCAGTTTGTTCAATTCTTCCTTCTTCAGCAGCTGACAGGTTTCCTGAATGTTCCCCAGGATGCACTGCAGAACCTCCTGGGCATCATGCTGCAAGTAGCCTTCATACATAGGGTTGAGCTCTCTAGGAAAAGCAAACGAGCAAAGCAATGAAGACCAGTTATTATTTGCTAATTGGCTAATGTGACTTGAGATTTAAATGAGGGAGTTCAGATGTAAAAGCAGGTGAGGATCCTCCCCAGGCCTCAAGAAAAGTCCTCTCTGTCACAGAGAGCCCTGGGGAGGTTCCTTATCAGGATCTATACTGGTATTAAACTGCCTTACCCACTTAAACACATACCCAGCTGCAACCCAGGCCCACAAGATCACCTTCATCCCCAAGGCTAAGGACTGCTTGAAATCCACAGCTGGATTTAAGTTAAATTCTTACCAAATGAAAATTTACTTCCACGTTTATGAAACTAACTGTAAATACAAAAAACTTCCTCTAAAGATACCCCCAAATTTAAGACCCTCTTCCTCTTGCAAGTCTCTAAAGCTGTGCTGTACAGTGACCTCAAAACTCCAGGTGAAAACCTCTGACAAAGTGTTGAAGACTACTGGTACCTAAGGGTGTTCAGCAGCCTTCGTGGCTGGGTAGCAAGTTCATCCGTGTATTTCTCTGGGTTGAGGAGGAAGCTGGCTTGAAGCTGCTCCACTGAAAGAATCAAGGAATGCAAACTGCAGATGAGTTCATAACTTGCCAGTGGATCTTCTTTACAATTTCCCTGCAATAAGAATATAAAAAGAAGAAAAATACTTGGAGTTTTGTCTGCAACAAGTTAAGACCTTTTCTCTCCTGCCCTCAGTCTTCCAGGAGACACCTGACAAAAACTTTTTGACTGACATGGGAAACACGTGTGTTTCAGACAATATATAAATATTTTGCCAGCAGAAGACAAATATGAAACCAGACTATCCATTATTTAAAAAACCCAACCCATCCTTGCCCAAACTCCAACTTCCATTCACCCAAAGGACTGGATCATCATTAACTTCATGTCAGAAACCTGGCAAGACACCTTCTCAAATGTCTTATGTTAAACTAAAACTTGTGCTTATGAGTTTAGAGACACCCTGAATGCTCAAGCTGGAACACAAGTTAAAAAATAATAATAATGTATCTTTTCCTGATATAGCACTGTAGAAAATAATACTGCAAAACTTCTTAAAACCAGAACAAATCCCAGTTACATTTGCATCACACTCCTGACATGCAGCCTTGCACAGTTACAGTGATGGAAGGTGCAGTGAGATCTGTTACCTTCTCTGCTTTTTGCTCTCCTTCATCTTTCAAAGATTCTTTCTTCTTTGAAATGATACTGTATAAGTGTTTTACTCCAGTTTTAAAACCAGGACAAAAATACAAGACCTGAAAGCAACAGTTTAAAACAAGAAAATAACTGGTACAGCAAGTTCCTGTGAGTACATAACTGCATTTCCAATTAAACCAGCCCTCATCTCCCAAGGCTGCTGCACAGCATGTGGAGATCACAGAATCCCAGACTGGTTTGGGTTGGAAGGGACCTTAAAGGGGGTTCCAACCCCCCTCCATGGGCAGGGACACCTCCCAGCAGCCCAGGCTGCTCCAAGCCCCATCCAACCTGCCCTTCAACACTGCCAGGGATGGGGCAGCCACAGCTTCCCTGGGCAACCTGGGCCAGGCTCTCACCAGCCTGACAGCACAGAATTTCCTCCTCATGTCCAACCTAAATTTCCCCTCTTCCAGTTTTGATCCATTCCCCCTTGTCCTCTCACTACAAGCCCTTGTGGAAAAGACCCTCCCCAGCCTTCCTGGAGCCCCTTCACAGCAGAGAGGTGCCCAGAGTCTGCAAACTGAAAAGTTACCCAATCAAGGCACTCTGCAGTGCACATATTTCCTGCAGTATCTTCGTTTTACCCCCACTCTAATTAGATTCCCTTCATGCAGACACTTCCTATGGGATATCAAATAGTGAATCTCAAGCACAAGCAAACTGCATTGCTGAGGCCCCTGACCTTACCTGGAGAACACTGTTGAGGTAACACGTGTTACCCAGATTGTTCAGGCCCACAAAAGGCAACATCTTGTCTTTTTTCTCACAGCTAAGGAGCGCAGGGGGCTGTGCTGCAGGCACCACCTGATCACTGCTGAACAGAGAAAACCTGGGTAAGAGACACTTGTTGAAAATCACTCCTGCTCTGCACAGGCAGACACTGATACTGTGCCATACTAAGGGACACTATCACATTTTTCAAGTCTCCCAACACATTTGTAACCAGCCACGTTTAAACAATGTTTTCCCATTTACATTTCCTCACTAGCTGCAATGGAACCAGCTGGTAGGTTTGCTCAGGGCTTGAAACACCCTCATGACCATCCCTGTGCAGCACAATCCATTCTTTTACTTGCAGCACAACCAACCTTTAAAACTCAAGTCTTTTTAACTACAATTCATTTTGCATAACCCTACATTCAGATATACTTTAAATAATTCAGCCTTGGAGCCACTACCTTGTGTTAAGGTCAAATAAGGCAACTTTTTCAAGTTATGAAGAAGTTTCTGCCAACCAGCTGAGCAAACTTTTTATAGAAGTAAATAGTTACAAAAATCCAGGGTAATGGTTGGGTTGGATTGACCTGGCTTAAGCGTTTTTTTCAGCACGTGTTTGGGAGGATCCTCATGCAGGAACACACCAGTTCAGAGAGTGCTGGAGCAGGGCTGTGTCTCCCTTACACCAAACCTAACCCTGGTGCAGCTCCCGGGCCGCCAGAAACGCTACCTCGGAGTAACCCGGTACGTACACTTCAGCTCCCCGGAACTCCGAAGCCTTTTCCTCATTTTCCTGGGACTCGGTGAAATCGAGCGCTCGTTTCGCTTCTTTTTTTTGGAAGAGCTTCAGCGAGAGCCTGTTCTTCTTGGAGGGGCTCCCCCGGGCCGGCCCGGTGCTGTCACTCGGCAGGACCCCGGGCATCTTCCCAGGCGGGCAGGGGCCGGGGGGG